GTTAGCAACCTCATCATTGTGAGTCCCTACGAGGCCAACCAGTTGCTACCTCTCCTCCGCCAGTCGAAGACAGTCTGCCTGCATATCTTCGCGCCGCGTTCCAATGCCAGCTACGCATCGGTCGATGATCTCATGCTATACAATGTCGGCCGCAACTTCTTGCCTGGTTCAGTCTCGCGTAGCTTGACGATGCAGCTGAATCTCTTCGCCGGGAGCCTCTATCTACGATCGCTGTCGGAGTACGCCGAGATCTGTGACTTTCTTGGTCTTCTAAAAGGAACAGCGAAAGACGATCAGGAAGTCTATGCAGATGGCTTCATCGATCCGCCAGCTGGGATCTGGGGGCTGGAGAAGTCTCCTGTGCCCTTCCTGCGAGCGCTACTCATGAAGATCCGGCGGGAAGGAGAAGGCGTCGAGAAGACCCATCTGGGTAGGATGCTAAGCGGAGTTCGACTGGAGGAGAGCGACTTTGTGGTGGAAGAGTAGTTGGCTATTTTGACGGCTGGTGACGATCTAGAGACGAAGATTGGATGTGAGAAGAGAGAAAGAATGTTACACGAAGAGGCGGTAATGAGATCGGCACAGCTCTACACTACGGTTAGAAGCACTGTCGGTGTGTCAGCAAGTAGTAGATATAATGCACCTCTGTGGTATAATCTCTTTGGCATAATCGCGTGATGCTTCCGAGCGGTCTTTCGAGGTGTCGCGCGTCGCGTGTCGCGTGTCGCCTCGGTACTGTCATCGCCCCATTGAGACTAGCGCACCCACGTCATTAGCACCAGCCCTGGAGGGGGTTGGGAGTTCCTGTCGTTTGCTGCATGCACGCCATTGAGTCCTGACATTTATACAAGTCTCGTTGTTATGTATGCGTCTACCTCCATAATGCAGCTAATTACATCTTTGTAGAGTGCGACACGAATTACACCCACTACTACAGTAGTGCGCGCGATTCGCGACTTCCGGACTCAACTACACCCATGCAACCAGGCATCACTTGTCATCAAGATGTTCGTAGAGCAACCTTCTCGATTCGCGCAACTCTTTGTCGCCAATATATACAAGAAAGAAGTCAATGTATGTACAATGCTTCCAGAGCGAGCACAACAGATGCACTGCATCCCCGCCATCCAATGAAATCCACTGATGTCCGCCGATTCGTCCTCCACATTTTGTTTGAGGTCTTGCTCTAGGCAGCCTAGCAAGAAGAGAGAGGCTCCTTGTAGATGCAAGAGTCAGAGGGGCCCTTGGAAACGCTCTCGGGCTCGCTGCCAGAAGCAACACCCTTGAACTCCTCGCAGATGACCTTGACGGAGCTGGCGCAGTTGGTAGCGTCGATGGTAGCGGAATCACCGAAGTTCGGGTTAATGCCAGCAAGGAGCTTGCCGTTGGAGGCCTTGACGTTCTTCATGATGACGTGGCGCTCAGCGGACTGCTTGCAGTTACCGCAGGAGCGGTATAGCTTGCCGAAGGTGTCAACGGTGAAGCCGTCGATGGTGACGGTACCAGCACCGTTCTGCTGGATGACCTTGTCTTCAGCGCCGGTAGCTCCTCCACCGATCACTAGAAGGCGTTAGCTCAGTCCTGAAGTATGTGCAAACACCTCTTACCAGTTGCGTCACCATCTTTCTTGAGAGAAAGCGCGTCCTCGCAGACAGCAGCCCACCAAACGTTCTCGATGGTGCAGCTGCCCTCGCAGTGGACACCCTCGATCTGATCCTCTCCGATAATCGCGTTCTTCAAAGTAGCGCCATCCTGCAGAGGTAGAGGTACGAAGTCAGTATATGTCTCACATGCACTTCCTACAGCCGTGACATACCTTTAGAATAAAGACCGCGTCAGAATCTCCACCTTCAGCCTGGCCAGTGCAAGACACGCCACGACCATAGGTCTTGAGACCACCGTCAAAGGTGCCAGTGATCTCCATGGGCTCCTTGAGCGTCTGAGAGCCCTTGGAGGCTGGGATAGGCAAGCTCGCCCGCTTGTTCAGGTTGAAGAAGTTCATGGGAGAAGGCTTGCTGGGACCGGCGGAGACGGCAACGGCGAAAGCCACGATGGCAGCAGCGACGGAGGCCTTCATGTTGATAGTTGGAAAGGTTGGAGTTGGAAAAGCTGGAGAGCTGAGAAGTTGTTGGAATGAAGAGAAGGACGTTGGGTTCGGCTAGCGAATGTAATGCGTCGAGCAAAGGATTGAAAGAAGATGAGAAAGCTGAAAGACTGTAAAAGACTGTTGTTGGCTCGATGGTGAGTACGGATTTCTGGGTGTGTCTCCCGCTCCATCTTATACCATCCACGGATCTGTTCCGACATCTTCTGAATGCCTGCCGTCGGGACAACTGCGGAAACTTGCAGGTTTGGCGAAATCGCATATAGATTGAACCCACACGGCTCCGCCTACCCTCATGGGCTTTGTGCTTGGCGATTATGCTCATCTGTTTGAAACAGTCCTTGGATTCGCGAATCGTGATCCGCGCGGTCTCTACCCGTTTCGCCTTTTGCGCCAAGAGCGATGCGTTTCAAAGAGGTGACTTGGAAGTTCCTCCAATCGTATGTCATCTGGTGTTTGTGCGCACAGCAAGGAGAACAACGTGACCGTGGAAGCTAAGCCTAATCTGCAGCATGTCAAGTGTTTATCGTGTCCTCGGTATGGAAGAAGGTTGCGGCTACAGCTGTCACGTCCAGAAATCCCGAGGTCCTTGTTCTGCACCCAAAGCAGGTAGTAACGGCTGCGACATACGTTGTGTCTTCGCAACGCTCACACAGATTGATGATAGGAGACCACAATGGCACATCTGCTGAAGTTGCGCGCGGGCATATCCCAGCGCGAAAACATTGCACCTGAGTGGTGGAAGAAACAACCCAACACCACAACTCGAGCACGTGGAGTGACAGCGCTTCTGGTTGTGATCGTCGCCATCACAGTTCTTAGTATATTGAAGTTGCAAACGTGCACCAGCACAAAGAGATCGGTGCCATCGAGCCGCCTCACCAAACACGACCCCGTTCTTCACAGACCACGTCAGGCTTCGCGGAACTTTCAGTAGCGTGGTTCGAGACCCGCTTGGCATTCCCCACTACCTGGTGAAGCAAGGGGCGGGAAGCTTGTGTATCGACATGGACAGCAAGGCTGCAGTACAACCCACTGACTCAAAGTATCCACATTATATCGTCGACATCGAATTTTTAGATATCTGTAACACACATGCGGGATTGTTCAGTAAACATCGACAACCCGACGAAGGCAGCCGCCCGCCACAGCGCACCAGGACGCAGAACACCGAAATGAGAGTGACATGCATGAATCAATCCTCCACGCGGCATTTTCGTACAACGCTCAGCGGTCAAGCGTTTTTTTTTCTTTTGGTGAAACATACCCAGCTCCGAAGTTGACCCAGTCCAGACACCCTTCGCCATCTGACACCACCATCAACAGCACGAACGGCCTGACGTCGCAGGTCTCCACGCGCTCGTTCATCTCAAGAAACATTGCTTTTGTCGCAGGAATGCATGCGACGGTTCTGAACGTCAATCGCAGTGCATCCTTCTGCGAGCAATGACGGCAACGGCGTACGGCAGGCACTCCGTGAACGAGATCACGGAGTGATACGTAAGCCGATCGTGGTGCGTGCCCTACGGCTGGGGCCGTGGCTGTGGAGGCGTTGGCGCCACACTCTAATTGTAGCTTTATCGTGACGCTGCTGCGCACCTTCCGTGTTGCTTCAGTTCACACATCTCTCTGCTACGAGCGACAAAGATGCCTGACATCTAACGTGTCTAGACGATTTTCATTGATAGCAGCAGCACATGACCAAAGACGGACTGGGATTTCTCACCTCATCGCTACGCTATCCGTCCGTGCGCTGGCTAGCGCCTACCCGATATATACAACTTTTTGCCCGTCGCTCTTTTGCTCTGCACCGCAAACATCCCAGTTCAACGCGCACCTGTGCAAGCCGACCCTCGGTAGCTGGGGATTTGCGGTCCTTGCGCAGGTCAAGTTTACCTGCACCTTATCTCTACGTCGAGATATACACCCGTTAGCCATTGCTCTTAAGTGAGCACGGTGAGACAACCGACCGCTGCTTCTCTGAAATAGTCGCCAGACGCGACTGTTTTGGGTGGGTTAGTCGTCGTACTATATCTATGGTCTCCTTAGTTTATAGCATTCCTTCTCCATCCTTGCGCAGGTCAAGTATACCTGCACCTCGTCAGCTCTTAAGTGAGACGTCGAGGCCCCGTTAGCCATTGCTCTTAAGTGAGCAGGGCCGACAAACCAACCTCTACTCCTCGGGAATAGTTGCCTCCGGTGACTATTTCGGTCGTTTAGACGTTGTTACTATATCTAAGGTCACCTTAGTTTATAGCATTTCTACTTCCAGATGTCTTTCGAGACAAACTACACCGCCCTTCTCTCCTCAACAATGGAGCAAGAATCCGGGCTCTTCGATGATACGCGACCGAAGCCGTGCAACACTTGAGACTTGAGTCACATATTGTGACTCTAGCGATTGGTAGGCAGTGGCGTATCTTCTCCACACGGTTGAGAGCGCTACAGTATGTCGACTATAGTTGTTCAACCCGGACGACGTGAACTTCGTGTCTTGAAGAGACGGAAGACAGTTGAAGCTCTACTTCCAGCGGCACGAGTCGCTCACGACTCCCGCAATACACAACCATCTCGGACGCAAACGCACTTTTGCGATCCGAGACTTTCAGGTGGGCGTGGCAGCCACATAATCGCCGTATCTACCCAATATCACATATCGAGGTCTATGTCGTCGCCGGGTAGTGATTACTTCTACCCTACATTACATATTAAGGTCAATGTCGTCGTCAGGCAGTTGTCCACATCGTCGTTTCTCCTGTCAATCCATCAATTGCCAGAGCAAGCTGACTACAAACAAAGGTGAACAGGGTCCATGATCCATCGCAACGAGCGACCATACCGAGCTACCGCCCAGCTCACCTCACCTCTCCAAGCCAACATGGCCTCGCCAACCCTCTCAAGCCCCAGGCTCAAAGTCACTCTCCAACGGCCCACCACAAACCCCCGTCAGACAAACCACCGCGGCCTGATACGTCACACTCCCCGTACTCGTACAGTCCTTCGTCAGCTGCGCGCTTCCGTAGTAGCAATTACCAACCGCCGCATTCGGGGACGAGATGATATCAACCAGCACCCCATAGTCCACCGAATGGTCACGGTCCGCATCATTCGTCGCCACGCCACAGTCACCCGTGAAATTGCCCGCAGACCTGACAATGCGCATGGTAGAGGGGCAGCCGGGGATTTCCAAGTCGCAGAAATCGTTTTTCCTCCAGTCGTTCAGTTTGTCGGTGCCGGCGGAGGTGCCGGCGGAACAGAAGTCGTCGGTTCCGAAGCCGTTTTCTTGGCCTTCGATGCCTGGGGGTGAGCGTTAGATTGCTGGGAGTGGACGAAGTTGGAATGACATGTACCTGCGCTGTTCCACATCCCGATGATTTGCAGTTGGCCTGGAGTGGAGAAGGTGCCGCCGAGCTCGGAGCCGGCGTATCTGCCTATGACGAAGTCGGCGTAGGTGGATGTAGTGAAGAAGCCCAGTAGCGGAAGGATGGAAAGCCGGGAGTTCTTCATGTTGGGTATAGGAAGCAAGGTCTTGAGGTTGGATGACGGTCTTGTAGGAGAGTGTTGACAGTGCTCTTTGATGCTGATGTCCTTCGGTTTGCTGTATGGCGGGTGTCTACTTATACATCTCTTTCTTCCCACCTGCTCTTACCGTTATGATGGAGGTCATCGCGATCGATCGTCTGCCAACTCTTCAATCCGTTGTCCCACCTATGCCCGTGCGATGCCCGTTGGGCGCATGTATCAACCTAGTTGTCAGTAGCCTTGGTCTGAAGTTGCAACAAGCACCCTAAGGCCAACCCTCATTCCATTCGGTATCGGAAGGATGCACTTGGCTCCACCTCCAACAACAGTACATAGTGGTAGTGGACACGGTGAGCGCCGAATGCCCATGATGAACGTTCATCGACCATCTCAGCCTTGACTTCGAAGATAGTTAGCGTCAGCGTCAGCGTAGCATTAGACGACTTTTAGGATGAGCTTGTAACTCATTTGACAGACTTATGCGAAGAGCACATGAGCACGTGATTCTGACCAAACCTTATCCTCAAGAAGCTTATGGTATCCTACAAAGCGCATAAAAATCTGAGGTCGATAGTGAAGGCACCTCATACAAGAAAAAATCTGGACAGGTCTGCAGACTACATCATACCAAAAACTTGCAAACTAGGTGACCTAACGTCAACGTCGACTCCAGGGCGTTCAGCTTTTTCCTAGGTTGGCGTGAAGGCACAAATAATCCTTTAGGGGAGCGGAGTCGCAAACAATGGGACTGCGAGCCCCGGGGCCTGGAGAAATCGTGGTAGGCCTGACACTACCATGCCGATCAACCAGCAGCCACTAGACATGGATGGGGAAGTAATGCGAAGCTAAGAGATGGACGACATGAGCTGAGTGCTTTTCGTCACTTATGGGAAGAAGTAGGCAAAGGTATGGCCGACGGTAAGTCGGTGTGCGTGAAGCCTTGACTAAGACGCGGGATCTGAAAGAGTGTATATGACGAAGACTTGTTTGAAAGGTTGAAGCTAGGTTTTTAGATTTCATACGCCTATCGATGGGATTGATATTGCACAATGTGGTGGCACAGCAGACCAAATGTACATGCATGCATCCCATCGTACATGTCTAACAGGGGCCGCCCGTTCCTCCGCCATGCTCAGTTCCCATGCCCCGTCGCAGCAACACCAGACACACACTGCTCACTTCATCTTCCTAGCGGACCAGTATTGGCGGTGCCACCAGTCCTCCTTGACGACTTGCCCAGCATAAAGTTACCCAGACCACGTGCACCACTGGCAAGAGGCTGCCTGGTCATCGGCGAGTTTTGGTACGAGGAATGCGCATCCTGACTCAAATATGGAGGGGGCTGGCGTGAACCACCGAGAACCGGAAGCTGGCTCCTATGAGCTTGCGAAGGCGTCCCGACTGGAGCTGTGTCTTCACTGTGTTAGCGCGCGATGCTCTCACTCATAATCGAAGGAGTAACTCACGACCAGTGTTGTTCCTCACACCCAGTCCTCGTCTCTGCAACTGTGGATCGAACGGAGGCCCGAGATGGACACCGCCCTGCTGCTGCCGTCCACTGCTCCCAGAACTCCTACTAAAGTCTCTGTTGTGCGGTTTACCACCACCGGCCTGCTGCGACATGTTCATCTGACTGTAGCTGGCCGTTCCGGTCCGCGTGCCAGGAAGGCGGTCGATGAACCGGTCTCCACGAGCAGTCTGGATCGTGTACGCCGCCTCATCACCAGCAGCATGAGCTACCTCCGTTGCCATGACCTTGCTTTTCAATTGCTGGTAGTGCGCTTGGGTCTGCGCATGCGCTTTCGTCTTCTCTTTGAAGGCTTTCTGAAGTTGATGGTTTTTGTCCTCGAGATCCTCCTGTTCGGCTTGCATGGCTACCGGACGGTTAGTATCGGAGCATTCGGAGGAAGAGGATATCGCGAACCCTGCATCTTGTCTTGCAATGCCTTGATCTGCGAATTCGCATCGTGCACGAGCTGATCCATCTGTTGACTGAGCGTATCGTACTTGCCAGTCAAACCTTTCGCGAGGTGCTCCTGATAGATGATCTCCTGCGACGTCTGATAGCTATGGAACGCCAAGCCACGACTGGCACACTCCATGATGATTGTTGGACTCAGGCCGCTTAGTACTGACGTCTTGTAGTCTTCTGATGGATTGAGACCAGCGACAACCACATCGTCGGGGTTGTGCAGCGATGAGTTGCATGCTGGACAAGTTCGATGCGCATTTGTAGATCTCGATAGCCCGGTGACATCTGCGCAATTGCTGCAAAAGACGTGACTTGTGCGATGGTCAGCGAAAAGCGTCAGAGGCAGGTGAGATGGACGAACCTGCACGTAGTAACCACGGCGCGTTCATGCAGCTGCGATCGACACTTGAGCTCATTGCAACGCAGAACGTACTCCATGGCGAGCGGCGATTGTGAAGTGGAGGGAGTTCCGTCGGCGGATGGAGAAAGCACGATGTTGACGCGAAAGCACGTGGTCCGCTCACCGAGGCAAGAGCATCCCAGCTCGTGTAGAATCTCATCGCACCAAGTGTAACATGAATTCGCGTCTTATGGATGTGGTATCTCGCCGCGCTTGCAACACTAAGCAACAGAATGCGTCCGTGGGGTCTGCCGCTTCCGCATTCGAGTCTATCGATCATCCTTGTCAGGCTTCCGCCGTTGTCTTGTGCTCTTCTTGCCAGCCACGGCCGTATCATCCTCCTCTTCGTCCCGGCCCTTTGCGAGTTCACCATCCAACTCCCACTCTTCGGGGTCATACCAGTCTTCGCCATCGCTCATTTCTCCTACATGGGCTTCCGCTTTTGACCACTTGTATACATCCTGCCTCATGCGGTCGGCTTGTAGCAGGCCTTGGTACAAGTCGGATGTTATCCGTGCGACCTCCTCCTGTTTTTGTACGTAGGCCATGAGGAGCATGCGTGTTTCCTCGGCTTCGTTGGGTGGAAGACCAAAGTCGCGGTCTGGCAACGAATCTGACGGATGTATGAAGAGAGGATGTATTGCGCCGACACCACTCGAGGGTGAATGAGGTGGGGAGGGAGTCGAAGCTGCGTGCGCCTGTGCTCGTCTGCGCGTCGTCATCCTATGTGTCTGTTGCGACGCGGTATCAGACGCGTCTTCGGGCGTTCCTTCTCCGTTCTCTTGCGCCTGCTCTGCATCTCCTGCGTGCGTTCCGTTGATCACAGGATGTGCGCCATTGACCCTTTCTGAACTCGCATCGCCGTTGGTCTCGGCCTGTCGACTAGTGCCATTTGGCTGGCCTGCATCCTCCATGTCTACGTCATGGGGACTTTCTATGGTCTCGCGCATGTCCGCATCGTGGGGTTGTTGCTGCTCTCCTTCGCCCGTGCGCCCATTTGCGCTGCTAGCCCATGGCTCCTGGAACGGTGCCCTTCCCATGGCAGCCAGGGCAGCTGGCGCAAACGTGGAGTCGCCCTGTAATTTCACGAAAAGAGTCTTCGCCCGCGCGTTAGTGACCTGCTCTTTTCGAGAAAGGGCTCCAGCTTCGCTCGCGAGGTCTGTGAGATGCCGAGAGGAGTATGCCACACTCAGGGCAGGGTGATTGGGTAGGTCGGCGGCCGAGGTGAGCGGCGCAAGAAGACTCTCGAGCTGTATGTTGCCGTAGGGATTCTCCTCGACAGCCTCCACATCTTCCTCGTCTTCGTAATCTTCTTCGACTTCGACGACATCACCGTCCGCATCGTATCGTGGAGGATTGCGCTGTAGGATGGACCTGTGGTAGCCGGCGTGCTCAATGCGCTGGAGGCGTCAGTCCACAGTCGACACCCGGGTCGCACAAGCCAAGACACACCTTCTTGTACGGTCGCGGGTCAGAAAGGAAGTCTGGGTCGCTGGCGCGCGCATAATGGACCTTGCGCCTCAAATCCTGCTTGTTGCTGTTCAAGGGTGTTTCGGAGTCCTCTGTGTCGGCTGCGCAGTGTTAGCTAGGACTGTGTCGAGGTAGGAATGAGCCTACAGTCGTCTTTTCGCAGCATCTTCCTCTTCATGCTGAAAATGGTATCCATAATCTGCTGCTGTTGGCCCGCCATGGCGTCAGGGCCTCTGGCCAGCGCGAGGGTAAGGTGGTGAAGATGCGGAGTATCGATACGAGCGCGTTCAGCTAGTACAACGACTTGTTGCGCTGTCAAAGGAATTTGGAGGTGGGGTTACGCGTAGCGGCGAAGCTGGATTGCAAAAGTATAGCTGTAGAGTGTTGGAGAGAAAGTGTGGAGGGATCGGGCGGCATAGAGAACGTGCATGGCAAGGGTTCAGCTAGCTTCCCGCGCCCATGTGTCGACCCGCGACCATCGATGACGAAGCCGCGAACAATCTGTACACTATCTCCATGCTGCCACAAACACGCTTGATATCGCCAATTCGATACAGCACCTAGGGAGCGCACGTCTGGCTTTGCGATTCTCGTGCGACGAGCAAATCTCACTCCGCAGCACTTCCGCTCTCCACAACTCCGAAAAGCAGCACCACGTCGACACCACGCTTGTGAGATACAAGCTGGAAACCACGCGACTCGGGCATGGAGTTATAATGGAGGCATACCCATCAGACTTCACTGCGCACAACCTACCGTTTATTGTCCTTTCAGGCCTAGCGACCAGCAAAGAGGCCGATCCCCCTCCATCGGTCCAGCATGTGCTTCCGGGGCGCGCTGTCACAACCATCAGCTCAGATCTACCGCCAGCAGAAGGTGACCGGGCAAATGAACTACTCCAAGAGTTTCTGAGTGCAGATGGCACGAACGCGCCGTGGAATGGGCGTGACTTTAGTCGCCGAGGCATCACGCATGGCTTCAGAATACGGAGTGTAGGAAGGGTACATGCGCCTGCGATTATGCCACGGGAAGGAGCCATGGGCTGATGCTTGCTAGAACTTCCAACTGCCTCCGAAGAAGGCAGATGCGCCCTCAAACTCCGAGACAACCCCTCCAGGCAGTCCCACCATCGCAGCCGCAACATCCTGGGTCCTGCATTCGCCCATATCTCCCCTCTCTCCAGCGTCGCCCTCCTTCCCCGACGGCGTCATCGCTCCTGCCTGGGTCGCCAAGCACCAGCACTACGTTCCTTCCGTATTCGTCTCCTTCTTCAACTTCACCACAGACCCCATTACGAACAGCTTGCACGATAATCAGCTGAAGACGGATATCAACAAGATCAAGAGCCAGATACAAAAGTCAGATTACCGAACAAGATATGTTGTGGTATTGCTGAGTGACAAGACTATCATCGAAGCACCAGACATCGAAGAGCGACTGGCGACGATACGGCGGGCTACAGGCTTGGATCCAAAGAATTCACTCTTCTTTCTGCCTCCAAGGACATCCAAGGTGGAGCTGCAGGCATTCGTTACTTCTATCCTGGCCATACTACAACCTGTCTGTGTCGAATATTATCGAGACCTCACGAAACATGCGCGGAGGAAGAAGGGACGAGGCACAATTCCTCCTCCGACCGCTCCACCAACGCGTGGCACCTCTCAAACGCTGTCGTATCCTGGGTGGGGTGTTCGCTATGACTTCAAGCTGGGTATTCTCGCCGAGTTTCGCCAGGAGATGGACGCTGCACAGCGACACTACGGGGCTGCGTTAGAGGCATTGTTTGGTGCCGAGGGCTTGTTTGAAACAACGGCAAGCTGGTCTCCAAGATGGGACGAGATACGGTTGCTAGCAGATATCATCGCACTACGGCACATTCGATGTCAACTATGGAACAATTTCCCTACTTCCGCGGTCCAGTCTTGGTTGCGATACAAGTGGAGATTACAAGACGTGCTCGATCGCCGGGGCAAGGGTACTAACAACTACGGTTGGCAGGCTTGGGAATCTACATGGGCCCAAGTGATGGCTGAGACCGTACGACGAACAGAGTTGCCAGTCTTCAAGATACGAGATCCTGTCCCGGACACAGATCCCTTGCCAGACATCCCTAATTCGCTATACTCTCAGCCCGAGAAACAGTTCCCGGTAGGAGAAAGACTACCACCATGGGAACTGTTACATCATGCCGGATATTGGCACAAGATTGCCAGTGACCACGCGAAGAGGCGCTACATCCTTGCCAGAGAGATGCCAGAGGAAGACCGAACACCACCAGGCATGTCTCCTGCCGCCAAGGTCTCGGCTCGAAACCAGATATACGATCACTACCTCGTTCCGCAACCTCACGAAGAGTATCCTGTACCTGGTATCGGCAATGGATTCGAGCACTGGAAAGACATCTCATCGAAGCTTACTGCCGCGATAGCTGAGTTTAGAGCTCGGGGACAACACCGGAAAGTAGATCAGTTGCAACTCGAGGTGGCTCGAACATTACTTCACGTAAAAAGATTTGACGATGCCTTCAAAGTACTGCGATCACTCTGGGAAACGATGGCATGGCGGAAAGAAGGATGGTGGAGCTTAGCTTCGGAGGTAGTATGGACTCTGCATGAGTGCGCACTGCGAGTACAGAGCCGAGAATCATATGTTGCAACGGAGTGGGAGCTGTATAGTCAAAGTCAGTGTTACTCGTCTTTTACACGAAGCTTCACTAACGGCCACCAGCGATTCCTGGCAAGACAAAATACAAGTACGACTTGATGACATGTTTGGACGTCTTCTCGGATGCGACTGCCGATAAGGTGAGCGTGAGTTTAAATGCTAAAGACCACATATCCTGCTGTAAGTGCGACACCCGTTTCCAAAATTTAAAGGCTGACCTTGCAGTGTCGACGTCGTTCGCCTTTGCCGAAGCCGAAGGCAATGTTGGCGAACCCCTTCATGCACAACTTGCCATCAGCTCCAATGCTCGACCAGGCTCCGCCCCTATCACGTTATCTTTTCTCCAATATCAGTTCAATGGTGGTTTGGCTGAAGTCCGCTTGAATCACAACGCCGACGAACCCTCTGGAAGTACCTCAATCATGTACACCTGCACATTAGAAGAGACTCACTCCGCTACCGGAAAGCCACGCTGGGCCGGAACAGCTGATCTGACGCTCCACCCGGGGCAGACTAAAGTGTACAGTCTGCCACTCATTCTGCGCGAGTCTGGGGATGTCGATGTTGTCGCGTGCGTCTTCGGCATCAGCACGGAA